TGGGAATGTCAGCAGCCATTAGTCAGTTCCCACTCAGTGTCAGAATGCCCACCACAGTCCCGCTATAAGTCACTGATCGCCGCCATTACTAGTATAAAAAAAAAAAAAAAAAATTCCAGTATATATACTGCCATTTGTAGATGCTATAACTTTCACGTAATCCAATTAATATACAATTATTGGTATTTTTTTTTTGCAAAGACATGTAGCAGCATACATTTTGGCCTACATTTATGAAAGAAATTTGATTTTCATTTTTTATTGGATATGTTTTATAGCTAAATTAAACAATATTGGGGTTTTTTTTCAAAATGGTCGGTCTTTTTTTGTTTATAGCACGAGGTGATCAAATACCAATTGAAAAAAAGCACTATTTGTGGGAAAAAAAATTACATACATTTCATTTATGTAAAGCATTGCATGACCGTGCAATTGTCAGTTAAAGTAACACAGCCTCGTATTGCAAAAAAAACGGCCTGGTCAGGAAGGGAGTAAATCCTGTGGAGGGAAAGTGGTTAAAGTGGAAGTAAACCCACTTTTGTATCTTTTACCTACAGGTAAGCTTTATTGTATACCTTATAAAACGTGCACGGTTTAGGAGCTAATCATGCTATTTGACAGCCGCACATGCGGAGCTAATTATGCTATTTGACAGCATACCCGTGCCGTTCCTTCAGAGCACTATGCTGTATTCTAAAACTCCTGTGTGCATGTACAGGAGTGGCGTCATTGGGCTTGGCCAGTCAGATGGCCGGAGCTCACGAACCCGGAAGGAAAACCGGGAGAGGATGGAAGCCTCTGCAGCGGGGACAGCGTGCCACTGGAGGGCTTCGTTTTAAGGTAAGTCCTTCACAATGTGCTAGTATGCAATGCATACTAGCACATTGACATTTTTTAAATTTTTTTTAAAGTGGAACTGCATTGCATCTGAGCACCACAAACCAAAAATGCCGTTTAATTCATTTTTAATATTCAAAACCATCTCCCCCATCCATCCATTTCTCCATGCTTTATTTTGCTAAGAAATCATTTTGAAAAGCATCCACTGGCATTTCTGGCAGTGGCCATCTTGAGTAAGGTCAGATGATTCCATGTGTCATTTACTTCCTGAAATCCATCTGCCCATAGCTCAGGCATAGGCTGAGCTGAGAACCCTCCCTCTTTTCCTGAAGACTCCTGGGATGTATGACATCATTTGCCTAGGCATGGAAACCAGGAAGTACCTGAAAAATGTGAACAAACGGTTCAAAACAAGTAAATATGATACACTTTTCTATCTATTTACTAATGCTAGTAGGAGTAGGATTAAAAATAGTCCATGTTTTCTGACAAAAAAATAGTCCATAGTTGATTGAGAGAGTAAAGTTCCACTTTTAAAGAATACAATACAGTGGGATTGCTACAGGCGTAGGGCCAGGAGGATAGGTGGATCCCTCTTCTATCCCCCCCCCCCAAATTTATTTATTTTTCCCTAGTTATCTACCTGTCTGTTGCTGCTGTCTGTTTCCCTACAATTTATCTACCTGTCTGTTGCTGCTCTCATTCCCTTTCATTCCTTTGCTAATCCCTTCCCCTCCCCCCCCCTTCATCCTCTCTAATCCCTCTTGTTGTCTACTCACTCCTCACATTAAACTTTCCCCACTGTGGTTGATTGTGATTTCCCCCTCCAATAGTAAACATGAAAATTAAAGGAGGAGATGGTATGTTTTAGGGATGTAGATAAGTAGATCTGCTGATTTTTTTTTTTACTTGCTGTACTAATTACACTAGAGTTCAGCACATTGCTTGTATTTATTTATTTCAGGTACTTATATAGCGCCGTCAATTTACACAGCACTTTACATACATATATTGAACATTCACATCAGTCCCTAACCCTCAAGGCAACTTGTTTACGTATCTGTCAGTGTAAAATGTTTTTTCTGCATTCCATTCAGTTGTATATTTGTTGGAACATTGTGTCATACTATTTCTTCAAAATAAAGACAAAAAAAACAAACAAACCCCCCCCCCCACACACACACACACACACACACACACACAATACATAAACTGTACTATATAGTTGATTTTATCTAGGTGAAAAATATTTTGCTTAAACACTTGCCCTCCAGAGGATTTACCCCCCTTCCTGACCAGGCCATTTTGTGCGTTATGGCGCTGTGTTACTTTAACTGACAAATTACACGGTCATGCAATGCTGAACCCAAATTAAATTTATGTTCTTCTTTTCCCCACAAATAGAGATGTCTTTTGGTGGTATTTGATCACCTGTGCAGTTTTTATTTTTGCCCTATAAAAAAAAAAAAAAAGGTAAATTTTGAGGGGAAAAAAAAAAAAAAAAAAAAAAAAAAAAAAATCGATGTTTTTGACTTTTTGCTATTAAACATGTTCAGTAAGAAATTTGAAATCAAATGTTCATCATAAAATTTAGGACAAAAATGTATTCTGCTACATGTCTTGGCTAAAAAAAAAAAAAAACAATACGTGTAAATTAATTGGTTTATGTGAAAGTTATAGCGTTTACAAATGGCGGTATAGAGACTGGGATTTTTTTTTTTTTTTTTTTTAATTTTTACTAGTAATGGCAGCGGTCAGCGACTTATAGCGGGACTGCGGCGGGCATTCTGACACTGGGGAAACTGACTTGCTGTCACTGACATCCCCAGTGACACCAAGACACTGATCAGTGCTAATAAAAAGCACTGACGCTGTACTAATGGTACTGGGCAGGAAAGGGTTAACATGAGGGGCTATCAAAGGGTTAACTGTGTGCTGGGAGTGTTTTACTGTATACGTGCTTCACTGTAAGCACACTGCTTTGCATGGCTGTGCTGTACACAGCCATGCAAAGCAGTGTGCAGGAGCTGACAGGGGAGAGAACTGGTTTGTTTACAAACAGTTCTCCCCCCCCGTCGGAGATGCTTGGCAATCACCATGCTTTGGCAAGTAATCACCAGCTGGGACCCGGTGACTGACAACCGCGAATGGCGGTGTGGGTAGGGCACACTACCTGGAAATGCAAAATCACATTATATATATATATATATATATATATATATATATATACACACACACACACGATTTTGTGCACCTGTGCCGCCCTGTAGCAGAACTTCTGGTCTAGGGTGAAAATAACAAACATGTCTATACTTACCTGCTGTCTGCAGTGGTTTTGCATAGAGCAGCCTAGATCCTCTTCTTCTTGGGTCCCCCAAAGACTGTCAGGTGCCCCCACAGCAAGCATCTTGTTATGGGGGGCACCTGCTGTCAATTCACACATGGAGCCGTGGCTTGACCCCACCCCCTCTCCTCATTGGCTGACTGGCTGTGATTGACAGCAGAGGGAGCCAATGGCTCCCACTTCCTGTCTCAACCAATGAGAAGGCAGAGACCTGGGACAGCCAAGGCTGCAGTGCACATCGCTGGATCTCGATGAGGCTCAGGTAAGTATTGGAGGGGCACTGCATAAAGGGAAATAATGCTTTAAAGAGGAGCTCCACCCAAAAGGGGACGTTCTGCTTTAAGGACTGCTCCCCCGCTCCCCATTAAGGATTGGCACGTTTGGGGGGGGGGGGGGGGGAGCGGGTACCCGAATTTGACAGGTACCCACTCCCATTTCTGGTCTGACTGCCTAGGTGATCGGAAACAGAAGGTGTCCTCCCTCCCTCCCTGTAGTCTTTTGGGACACGTGACAGGTCCCAGAAGACTACAGGACCATTCATGAAGCTCAGCCCTAATCGCGCATGCACAGTGGGTACCAGGCTGTGAAGCCACAAACTATCACAGCCGGTGCCCACACTGAAGATGCCAGCCTCCTGAAATCCAGGACAGCCAGTGAAACGGGGGGGGGGGGGGGGGGGGACACACACACTGAGGGACAAGTAAGTGGCTGTTTTTTTTTTAAAAGTCAGCAGCTACAGTTTTTGTAGCTGCTGACTTTTATTTTTTGACAGGTGAGTGGAACTCCGCTTTAAGTCTGGTGAAGCTTCTGGCAATTGGTTTCTGAGACTGAAATTGCATATCCCAAAAAGGCCAGTAGCAGCTTTTAAGATTGCTGGGAAAAAAGGGTATTAAGAGAAAAAATAGAAAACCCTTGAAAGTTGCAGGTCCTTATCAAGCAACTAAAAATGCAGACTTTATATTGGGCTGTACACTAGCATATTTTTTGGAAGCTCACACCAATATCCATTAAAGATGTAAATCAATGTTTATAGTCCCGGAGAAATAGAATATCCTCTGTCGTCTAGCCTCAGGAGGGGAATTAGTGTTGTTTGTAGATCTTACATCTTATTCAGTTTGCACCATGCATGCTGCTTTCCTGAGCAGACATAAGAAATTGAAGTTCCAGCTGGCAGTGCGGGATCCTGGAACTATAGCCAGTTATTCAGGACATGAAAGGCTTCCTGCTGTATGAGCCCTATACAATGAGAGGACACATCAGGACTGAGGAGAATTGTAGCTCAGCATGCACAGCCTACTCCGCACCAACATACAAAAAAAAAAAAAAAAAAAAAAAAAAAAACTTTCACACAAACTCTGCTACCAGTCTTCATTCTCGAAGTATTTAAAAAGAATAGAAAAGAAAGAAAAAGATGACAGCTTTCAATGACTTCAATGAATTCAAGGTGCAGGCTTCTACATGGTCATAGTGACTGCCTTTACTGCTAAGGAAATCACGGAATTGCAAGGTGTATGAAAGGCAGTTCAATCTCTTTAGGCCTCTTGAACACTGCAGCTTCATGAGGTAAAATACAGGCCATTATTTACAATGTGCCTTTGCATAGAGGCGCGTAGAGGGCCGCATATTTCTCAGTAAAGAAAAAAAAAATTTTTGCATTTTTGGTCATTAATTTATGCATCATGTGTGCAAATAGGTACATACGAGCATAAAATATTAACCACTTGCCTACCGGGCACTTTTACCCTCTTTGTGCCCAGGCCAATTTTCAGTGCTGTCGACAATTGCGCAGTCATGCACAGGGGCGGACTGACAACTCATGGGGCCCCCGGGCAATAGGGGATCATGGGGCCCGTGTCCTTGCCCAAACTCAAAAAAGCCTATGAAAAAGGTACCAGGGGCATCTCATGGGGCCCCCTACTGACCCCGGGCCCTCGGGCAGTGCCTGAGTTTCCAAATGGTCAGTCCGCCCCTGGTCATGCAACACTTTACCCATATGAAATGTTTATCATCCTTTTCACACAAATGGAGATTTCTTTTGGTAGTATTTAAATCGCCACTGGGTGTTTTATTTTTTGCACTATAAAACAAAAAAAAAGCAAAACAATTTGAAAAAAAAAAAAAAGAGTTTCTTTGTTTCTATTATAAAATTTGGTAAACAGGTAATTTTTCACCTTCACTGATGTGCATTGATGAGGTGGCACAGATAGGCAGAACTGAGGAGGTGGCACAGATAGGCAGAACTGAGGAGGTGGCACAGATAGGCAGCATTGATGAAGTGGCACTGAAGATGCTGCACTGATATGCAGCAATGATGGGCCCTGATAGGCAGCACTGATGGGAAGCAGTGGGTGGCACTGCTGGGCACTTGTGAGTGGCACTGCAGGGCACTGATCATCAGTGCTGATCTCCTCTGTGATAGCTCCCAGTTATCAGCAGTACTTTCCTCATGCTGTGACAGTGTGAGGAAAGTGCAGACGATAACCGGCAACTGTATTTACTCTGTGATCTGCTGTGTCATTGGACACAGCTAATCACGTGGTAAAAGGCCGCTGTGATTTGCCTTTTACCTCATCATGTAATCAGCTGGTGATCACGGAGATCACCGGGTGCGCGCCACTGCGGGCGCGCAGGAGGGCGCGTTCTGGGAGATCATATGATGCCCTCCCAGAACTGGACAACCGCGCTGTAGCTGTCATTCGGCTATGGTTAATGAAGCATGCATACGTGTGCATGCTTGCAAAACAAAACGCCTGAAATTCCGTCCAAGAAAGAAAAGTCTCAAAACATCAGTACCATGTGCAAGAGGCCTTAGACTGTAGGCCCCCATGTACACTGGACACATAAAAACCCATGAGTAGAGAACTCACTGGAAAAGAAGTCCTCAAGAGAACAAAACTGCGGCTTAAAATACAGTATTAATTGAAACATAACATAGCAAGTACAAAAACATGACAATGACCTCCACCCAGCACAATAAAATCAGGACATATGGAAAAAAACACCCTCTCAGGCACTCGGATCCCATGTACACTTGACACTTAGCCCTGGTGCATGAGATTCTGGTGTTTTAACTGTGGGTAGAGAGCACAGGTGCGCCCATCCAGCCCTGCTTTTGGCAGCCTGTCCAATTCTATAAGAGTCAAACAACTTCTACAGCTGGACAGGCCTGGGCAGTGCATTCAGCGGTACTTCCGTTTCGGGCAGTATGCACCCAAGCTATATACAGGTGATACTCGAAAAATTTGAATATCGTGCAAAAGTTCATTTATTTCAGTAATGCAACTTAAAAGGTGAAACTAATATATGAGATAGACTCATTACATGCAAAGCAAGATAGTTCAAGCCGTGATTTGTCATAATTGTGGTGATTATGGCTTACAGCTCATGAAAACCCCAAATCCACAATCTCAGAAAATTAGAATATTACATGCAATCAATAAAACAAGGATTGTACATAGAACAATATCGGACCTCTGAAAAGTATAAGCATGCATATGTACTCAGTACTTGGTTTGGGCCCCTTTTGCAGCAATTAATGCCTCAATGCGGCGTGGCATAGAAGAGATCAGCCTGTGGCACTGCTGAGGTGTTATGGAAGACCAGGATGCTTCAATAGCGGCCTTCAGCTCTTCTGCATTGTTCGGTCTCATGTCTCTCCTCTTTCTCTTGGCAATACCCCAAAGATTCTCTATGGGGTTCAGGTCAGGCGAGTTTGCTGGCCAATCAAGCACAGTAATCCCACGGTCATTGAACCAGGTTTTGGTGCTTTTGGCAGTGTGGGCAGGTGCCAAGTCCTGCTGGAAAATGAAGTCAGAATTCCCATGAAGCTCGTCTGTGGAAGGAAGCATGAAGTGCTCCAAAATCTCCTGGTAGACGGCTGCGTTGACCCTGGACTTAATGAAGCAGAGTGGACCAACACCAGCAGATGACATGGCTCCCCAAATCAACACAGATGTGGAAACTTCACACTGGACTTCAAGCATCGTGTGTGCCTCTCCATTCGTCCTCCATACTCTGGGTCCTTGGTTTCCAAATGAGATGCAAAAGTTGCTCTCATCAGAAAAGAGGACTTTGGACCACTGAGCAACAGATCAGGTCTGTTTTTCTTTAGCCCAGGTAAGACGCTGCTGACGTTGTTTGTTGTTCAGGAGGGGCTTGACAAGAGGAATACGACATTTGAAGCCCATGTCCAGGATCAGTCTGTGTGTGGTGGCTCTTGATGCACTGACTCCAGCCTCAGTCCACTCCTTGTGAAAGTCCCCAACACTTTTGAATGGCCTTTTCCTGACAATCCTCTCCAGGCTGCGGTCATACCCTGCTGCTTGTGCACCTTTTTCTGCCACACAACTTTCTATTAATGTGCTTTGATACAGCACTTTGGGAACATCCAACTTCTTCTTTTGCAATTACCTTTTGAAGCTTTCCCTCCTTATGGAGGGTGTCAATGATGGTTTTCTGCACAACTGTCAGGTCAGCAGTCGTTCCCATGATTGTGAATCCTACTGAACCAGACTGAGAGACCATATAAAGGCTCAGGAACCCTTTGCAGGTGTTATGGCTTACTTAGCTGATTAGAGTGGGACACTTTGAGCCTAGAATATTGCATCTTTTCACAATATTCTAATTTTCTGAAATTGTGGATTTGGGGTTTTCATGAGCTGTAAGCCATAATCATCACAATTATGACAAATCACGGCTTGAACTATCTTGCTTTGCATGTAATGAGTCTCATATATCAGTTTCACCTTTTAAGTTGTATTACTGAAATAAATGAACTTTTGCACGATATTCTAATTTTTTGAGTTTCACCTGTATATAAAAACTGACTTTTCTCTACCACAGACTGGGGGCAGGGAGCTGACCAAGTCTAAGACTACACAATTAAGGTGTTACTAAACCCACAACAGTAAAATCAGTCTGTATATGCAGTAAAGCATGCTTGTTATACTCACTGTGGAACCTAAGGGATTAATTCTCTGCATTGTGTAAAAAGGCTGCTTGATCCTTTTTCTCTGATCCTCCCCTTCTACCGGTGTCTCCTAAATATCTCCTAACAGAACGGAGGCTCGGGAGCAAGCTGCACATGCTCAGTTTAGTGTGCATTTCTAGAGAGGGTTTTTTCTCCTTAGGAGAGTGCATGTGATCGGCACAGGGCCAATCAGCACTGTGCAGACAGGTCAGGGGTCCTGCATCCTACTACAGAAGAATAAAAACTACTACAAGATTAACCCGTGCCCTGCTGAACACTGATAGAAGTCACAAGACTGCTCTAACTGCTGATGAGAAAAAGGTATTTAGCAGTTTATATTTACTAAAATAATTGCATTTCCATGTGCTGTGTACTATGGGAGACCAGATATAGTGAATGCAGGGTCCTGGGTTTAGTAACACTTTAAAGCCGAGTTCCAGTTGATTTAAAAAAAAATAAATAAAAGTCAGTAGCTACAAAAACCGTAGCTGCTGACTTTTAAAATACAGCCACTTACCTGTTCCTCGGGCCCTTACCACAGCTGGTTTCACTGGTCGTCTGCTCTCCCTGGCGCCAGCATCTTTAGTGTGGGCATTCGGCTGTCACAGCTTGCGGCTTCACAGCCAGATGCCCACAGTGCATGTGCGAGAAGCACTGCACTTTGTGAATGGCCCCATAGTCTTCTGGGACCTGTCACTTGTCCAAAAAGACTACGGGGAGGGAGGGGGTGGGGAGGCCAACTTCCACTTCAGATCGCAGCGGAAGAGTTAGCGGGTACCCCTCAAATCTGGGTACCTGCTTCCCCCCCCCCCCCCCGCTCCCAAAAGCTCATATCCATCCTCTTTCCTTCTGTCTGCATACAATGCAGAGTTCAGTCCTTTCCTCTTCCAATCTAAGTTTTGCTGAATTGCAAGAGGCCAATATCCCTAGATAATCATTCACTGGGAAGACCAGTGTGCTGCTGTTTCTCTTTCCCCCAGCTCCCTGAGCGCAGAGGGTATGTGATCACTTATAAAAAAGGGGGGAAAAGGTGTATAGAATATCTTTTAGATCTATAGACAAATGTTTTGCCTTTCATGTCTATTTTAAATGGAATAGGTTGTTTTACAAGGTGAGGGTTTACATATACTGTACTTTAAATGAAGTTTTAAAATGTCTGGAGTTCAGCTTTAAAGCAAACCTGTTGTAGAAAGCAAACGCAGCCCCTTCACTCTAGCGTATGGTTATTCTGATGCTTATATATGCTTTTATCACCTCTTCTCTGTATATCCAGATGTTCTGGGATACCTATTTAAAGCACTATATACAGTTGCAAGAAAAAGTATGTGAACCCCTTGGGATTACGTGCAGTTTTGCATGAATTGGACATAAAATGTGCTCTGAACGTCATCTAAGTCACAACAATAGAAGAACACAGTCTGCAGAACATAATACTACACAAACATTAGATGTTGCCATGGTTTAATTGCACATAACATGTAAACATTCACAGTGCAGGGAGGAAAAAGTATGTGAGGCCCTAGCTTAATGACTTCTCCCAGAGCTAATTGGAGCCAGGAGTGAGCCAACCTTGACTCCAATCAGTGTGATGATATTGGATGTGTTGCTGACAGCTGTCCTGCCCTTAAAAAACACACACCTGTTTTGGGTTTGCTGGTTTCAAGAAACACTGTCTAAAGTGAACCATGCCTCGCAGAAAAGAGCTCTCAGAAGACCTACGATCAAGAATTGTTACTTGCATGAAGCTGGAAAGGGTTACAAAAGTATCTGCAAAAGCCTTGATGTTCATGTGTCCATGGTAAGACAGACTGTCTACAAATGGAGAAAGTTTAGCACTGTTGCTACTCTCCCTAGGCGTGGTCGTCCTGTAAAAATGACTGCAAGAGCACAGCGCAGAATGCTGCATGAAGTAAAGAAGA